ATTTAATTGAACTCAGTCAGACATGCAATCCCAAATATTACTATTCAGCGTATTCGTACGTGGTAAAGAATGACCCGGACTTCGTGATTTCTCCAGGGCTTATAGACCTCCCTAATGCTGACGCGTTAGCAAGTACTAGCGCTCGCGACCTGCCGAAGCAAGAAAATTGCACAGGCTTCCAAAAATATGTAACGAAAGGGACTCGCTGTATACGGCGTTTTACGCATTATACAACACAAAGTTAGTGTTATACGCTAATTATGCTAATAGGCGTTTCCGGTCCAGACGAATGCAATGAAACTAACATCGGTTGTCACTTCGATTGTCACTATGGAAATACGAAATAATGGGCAACTAGGCAGCTTTTAAATCAGAACAAGGCTAAGAATAATTTGTTGAGAATGTCTAACAATGTATTTGCTATTAATGAAAGGGTTTGAAATTGATTAAGCCAAGTTTTGGATCGATTGACACTTTTCTACATAAATAAATCTGATATATCATAGTGACATTTCTAGAGTTGAGTGTCAATCGATACATTTTATACAATTTATATACTTTGTGATTGAGTAGAACCCGTAATATATCAATACGCGCTACTTAAACACTTTTGCTTACAAAAATTTGGCCTAGCATTCAGCTAGTATTCCAAAGGTCGTAGGTTCAAATCCCGCCGTGGCCGGGCATATTTTTCAAGCCTGCCCGGTGTGGATATACACTCAGAGTAACATCACACAAACATCTTATTCACCTGAGTACATTACACCAACACAGCAGATTTCATGATTATTAGATTACACTGATATCGAAGGAACTAGACTCAGTTCCGTAATATCGCATACTCGAACCGTCCTGACCGCGTAGCTCAGTTGGAAGAGCATTGGGCTAGTATTCCAAAGGTCGTAGGTTCGAATCCCGCCGTGGCCGGGCATATTTTTCAAGCCTGCCCGGTGTGGATATACACTCAGAGTAACACCACACAAACATCTTATTCACCTGAGTACATTACACCAACACAGCAGATTTCATGACATTTACGTAATTTGAAAAGGTTTGGCTCGACAGAACTTTCATAGTAAAATTGAACTCTGGGTACGATGTTATCACCATATTGGAACGTCATTCTTGTCATAGCAACGGTAGTTTTGCAACTTTTGTGGGGAAAAATGACTCTTTCGACGTTTTACATAAGTATGTATAGATGGTTTTTGTTTTTCAACAAGTAATACGCGTCCAAAAATACGGATCTAAATCGCAAATTTTCTATTTTTAAAAAGTTGTATCGAGCCACCTTCATCAAATAATACATTATTTGGTTTCGAAACGCAAGAGAAGCAACAGTAACTAGTTTCTTGATCTAGGCAATATGTATCTTTCCCTTTAAAGAAACCTTTCTTCACATGCGGACTGCACTGCAGTGCATTAACGTGCATGCACTCGATGGAATACACTGGCTTCAACCGTGGCTTATTAGGTGCTGTCGACTTGCAGTCTTAAGAGTGAACAAGCTCCGTTAAACAATTTACTGCCAGGAATATTATTATAAACTATAAAATCTCTTGCATGACTATACTCTATAGACAAAAATCTAATAGCACAATAACTTGCACGTACACTGACCAGTTTTCGCGCAATATGTAATATTATATACTCACAATACATATTACGAAACTAATAGTAATAAAGATGCCTAGTGGAATTTGTTGAGTCGTTACACATATTTAATTATGCTCTGGATATCCATTGAGCATGCCAAATTTTTTTGTAAACAACGAAACCTAACTTCCGCACGTCC